GGGGGGTTATCCAAACATATGACGGTGTACCTGATTAACCACTCACAACAAATTTGAATTGCCTTGACTATGAGTTGACCCCTAAAACTGAAAGTCTACATTTCAGCTAAGACATATTTCGCATTTTCTTATTTTATATTACTTTTGAATATGCAGGATACATTTAAGTTGATACAATATTTGTCTGCTGCTGACAGCCACAGACTTTCATAATATGTTTTTCCCCCCATTCTATGGAAGTCAATGGCTACCTGCAACTTTGGTTGCCAACATTCTTCAAAATATCTTATTTTGTGTTCAGCAGAAGAGAGAAACTCTTACAGGTTTGTAACAAATTGAGGGTGAGATAATGTCAATTTTAATTTTGGGGCGAACTACCCATTTAACAAATACATTTGTTTAACATCTTCATGTGATGGCGTGCAGTCAGCAAGCAATCGCGATGCGGTGCGGTGCAGAGAGAAATGACTGAAGGAGCTACAAGAGGATGCGCCGACATGACCCATTCGATCTGCACATTCTTGAGCCAATTAGCAGAGGACAGTGGTCGCAACTTTACATCTTATTACAACACAGATACCGGTAGTCATCCACTATACTAAAGATAAAAGCTCGGTGAAAGGAAGCTTTGTAAAACATGTATGGGGCAAACCAGGCACACAGCTGAAGAATATGAAACACTTTCCAAACAATAACGGGACATTCGTTTCTAAACCAATCGTGCTCCACTCACGATGTTAGAGAATAGTGGCTCTGTGGGTGTACATAGCGCACAGCACAAAGCTACGCATTTTGAACTTTCGGTAGAAAACAAATACAATCATACTTACAAGTTGTGATCCTGAAGCGCGAGAAGGTCCGAATAAAGTGGGCACTGCCCCATCTTTAATAAATAAGCGTTTAGCAAATCCCGCGTTGACCTCACCAAGATTTAAGAAGCAGCCGTCCGTAAAATGACGAGAGCACAACAAAAGGTTATTGGTGATATACTGCCGTGGTGTCACTGTAAAAATGAACTTTAACCACTGACTCTTCACTTCCTCGTGCTTTGGGAGTAAATGCAAAGAGGATTTGCTTTCGCAGCGCAGAAAACAGCGCCTTCTAGACATGGTAACAACACGAACGAACTAAACTCTGCCGGGCCTCAGCTACAACTACAGCGTTTGAGGGCGGGTCAAAGCACACGTTGCTCGCGGACAGCCAATGAAAACCATAGGCGCGCATGATGCAAATTTGATAGACACACGCAGGCTTGTGAAGAGCTTTTGTGCAGGAAGTGAGGCAGGGATTACGCAGTTTCACGCAGCTCAGAACAGCTTCTTTCTTTTGGGAGACAATATATTGGAAACGATACGCCCATTGTTCCGTGTTTTGAACGCTTCATATATAAACATCAATTATTTATCATACTTACAGGTTGTGATTCAGTGGAGCCAGCTGCTCCAAATAAACTGGGTACCGAGCCATCTTTCAAGTGCAAGCGTTTTGTGAATCTCGCGTTGAACTCCCCGAGATTAGAGAAGCAGTCTTCAGTAAAATGACGGGAACACAAAACAAGATTGGGGTTGTACTGCTGTGGTACCGTGGAGAAAATGAATATTAACCACTGATTCTTTGCAGCCTCGTCTTTCGGAAGTGAAAATAAAACGAATTTACTTTCACAGCGTAGGACACAGCGTCTTCTCGACATGATGTTAACCACACGAACAACAAGCCAGTGTTTGAGCGCGAGCATTATGCAAATGCGTTACGTGTAGCCGTTACGGAAGTGGGATTCGAATTACTGACGACTCGTTTTAGGCTGTTCAGAGTCCATTCTTTCTTTTGGGAAACAATAACTTTATTTATCACTGAGGTGTCAAACCCAATTCCTGGAGGGCTGGTGTAGAGTAGATTCTGTTCCACTCGGAATGTCTGTTTCCCTTTACGCAACCACACTAACATTACAATTCTTGCATAGTTGCCGAGTTACCATACATGTGATCAGAACTAGCCTGCAGCAAGAACTGGATGTAACGCAAGTCAAATGGTTTAAAATGCCGTCTTTAATCCGAAACTTGAAAATAGTTTTAAGAAGAGAGGTTTTTTAAACTTGAAATCTAATTCTACTGATTTTTTCCAATCAAATATATTACCGATTTCAATTGGATGCTTAAAGGGATAGTTCACCCCAAAATGAAAATTCTGTCATTAATTACTCACCCTCGTGTCGTTCCAAACCCGTAAGACCTCCGTTCATCTTCGGAACACAAATTAAGATATTTTTGATGGAATCTAACAGCTCTCTGACCCTCCCATAGACAGCAAGGGTACTACCACGATCAACATCCAGAAACGTAGCAAGGACATCGGTAAAATAATCCATGTGACATCAGGGGTTCAACTGTAATATTACGAAGCTACGAGAATACTTTTTGTGTGCAAAAAAAAAAAAAAACACGGATACGGTTTTTACGTTGTTTGAGCTTTGATTTGAACGAAAACAACGTATCCGTGTGGTGCAGCTGCCACAGAACAACATCAGTGGATACTCTCCAAAATGGCGCTAGGAAACAAATTGTTGAATAAAGTCGTAATTTTTTTTTCTTTTGCGCACAACAAGTATTCTCGTAGCTTCGTAATATTAGTTGAACCCCTGATGTCACATGGATTATTTTACCGATGTCCTTGCTACGTTTCTGGACGTTGATCGTGGTAGTGCCCTTGCGGTCTATGGGAGGGTCAGATATCTGTCAGATTTCATCAAAAATATCTTAATTTGTGTTCCAAAGATGAACGGCGGTCTTATGGGTTTGGAACGACATGAGGGTGAGTAATTAATGACAGAGTTTTAATTTTGGGGTGAACTAATCCTTTAAGGCTTTGGCTATTCTGTTTTATACTGTCTTATACTTATTAATTTATGCTAATTTTTTTATTTTTTATTATATGCCTTGCTGTTTTTGTATTTATGTGTGCACTGAAAGCTTAAAAACCCTTGTGTGTGGTGTGTGCAAAACATACATTAAAATAAATATAAAATGAACTATAACTGTTGTGTACAAATCAGAACCCTATGCACACATGAACATTTTCATGGATACTGATTTTTTTTTCTTTCCTTCATTCTATAAACTACAAACCTGATTAACAGACTCTGTGCCTTGGACAGTAAGAATTATCTTTGGTGCCTCAAACCTGTAAAAGAATGTAATGCAGTGAGAGACAACTGCTTCAGATTTATTCAGAATAGCATAGGCTATTTTGTGTAATAGTCAACCAGGACACAAATGTACTCATTTCCATTGTTGGTCCTGGTGACTTTCCCCACTAAATTCATGCCCAGCTGTTCCAGAGGCTTGTCCACCTTAAAATTAAAATAGCAACATTAATACATTTACATTTTGTGACCTAATGACTTCCCCATCTCAAAACCCATGCACATCTGTGGACAACAAGCTTACATACACATATTGGGATGGACAGTCTGCTTAAATGGCACTGGGCACACTGCAAAACCTTATGTTCAGAAATAAGCATATGAGAAATGCATTCCATAACATAATCAGTTTATGTGTCTCACAGCAATGTTGAAAAGGAAACAATTTAGTAGCCTATTTACCCATTTATCAATGTCCACCCCCCTTCCAGGCCAGTAGAATCTAGCTGAAATGGCAAGCTTGGTTTTTTCGGTTCCACAATGTTCTAATTCTAAAATAAAAATTGGCTGGCCTCTTTTTGTCCTGCAACCACTTTTCTTCTTAACTTAACTTTTTTTTTAAGGATATGTGATAAAGTTCGCCATCTATTGAAATAGCATTATTGTTAAAATCTAAACAAATAACCTGCAATGAGGTTCTAAAGGCCCAGTTGAAGGAATAGGCCCATTTAAACTGAAATTGGAAAACAGGTTATTGTCAATGTGCTAGTTGCTTCAAGTCAGTTAAGTATAGTTTCTTGACAAGCACTGACTTTTTGTTATGATCATGTCTTGGTGTATCACTATACCTCACTTTACTATGAGAAAACTTGTCAGTGTAGAGGAGTTATCACTTAAAGTAGTTTGCTTACCATCAACTTGGAAACTGGAGGAACATCTGCAAATGAAATATTTCTGCTCTTTTTTATGACAAATGGATAAACACCTTGAGTTTTGGAATTTCCTCATATAGGTTTGGATCCATTGCTTTCATATGTCAAGAAGGAGAGTCATTCAGGTGTGGTCATCTCCCTAATTTATAACTGAGCTATTTTGAATGATTGATTGATCGATTGATTTATCTGGTGTACTCTTGAGATTGTATGCCAATTACAATTACTTTCCACACTTGCATCTTGTATGCAAGGCTTTCTTGTGAAAAAAAAAAAAACGTTTGGATAAGTGTTCAGATTAAATATATTCCACTGTATCAGTAAGAAGATTAAACAGATTAATCAAATAGAATATTAATTCAAAAGTATTGTTGGACTATATGGAAATAGTAATAGCCTATGCCCTGAGTTTGGACGTCAGCACGGACAGATTACACTAATTTGCATAGGCAAAATTAAACTGCAAAAACTCACATAAGACAAAAAAAGGAACAATTGCACAAATCACAGAACATTAACTGGAGTGTGAGAATCATTTTACTATGCTGCAGTGTAGCAAGACATTTGTCCCTTTTTGCTTTCCGTACATCCAGTTGCGTTTTGGTGTATTTGCATGCTGCAGTGTTGCCAAATCCACATTCTTTTTCCCGCGGAATTGGGATACTTTGGGCCTATGTTTGATTAACTATTTGGTCGGGTTTATTACACAGACCTGGCAACCCGAGGGAACAGAATCGACTGGGTTGAGGCTAGAGGAGATACAGCTCCGACCGGAAAAGAACAATTTAATTTAATTTTTGACATATTAGATGTGTTTTATTAACGTCTAACGTACACCTACCCCTTACAATAATGGAAAAATAGTAATTATTGTTGTACAATGTGACAAAAATTACGCTGTATTGATGTGCGCATGCCCAGTAGCGCCATGCTGCAGTGTTGCCAAATCCACATTCTTTTTCCCGCGGAATTGGGATACTTTGGGCCTATGTTTGATTAACTATTTGGTCGGGTTTATTAGACAGACCTGGCAACCCGAGGGAACAGAATCGACTGGGTTGAGGCTAGAGGAGATACAGCTCCGACCGGAAAAGAACAATTTAATTTAATTTTTGACATATTAGATGTGTTTTATTAACGTCTAACGTACAATAATTACAACAATGGAAAAATAGTAATTATTGTTGTACAATGTGACAAAAATTACGCTGTATTGATGTGCGCATGCCCAGTAGCGCCATACGTATCCCTTCTAGCCTTAACCAATCGACTGCTACATCGGAGCCCTGCAGAGTTTTGTTCCAACAAACATACCATGCAGTTTTCAGCCTGAAGGACTTGATTAGTTCGATCAGGTGTGTTTAATCAGGGTTGAATCTAAACACCCCCCTGATTTACCCCGAGCTTTCGGCGCCAACATTCGAAGTTCGCTGGTGGGATTAAAATTAGTTTGTAGGGGTTTGTCGGATAAGTATGAATTAGCATTTAGCTAACTGGCTAGCGGAGCCAAACAGCATTGCCCTTTGTTTACGTCCTTGCTACAACATGGAAGTAATGAAAGAAACTATTAATGGAAAACACATCAAAGAATAAAACATACTTACAGGTCGTGGCCCATAAACAATAGTTTCTGCCTTTAAAGTGGGAACTGCTCCGTCTTTCAGGACAAGCTTTTGTGCGAATCCGGCATTGAACTCGCGTACATTGAGGAAGCGGTCCTCCGTAAAATGTGCAGCGCAGATAGCTATATGGGGGTTATACTTTTCAGGAACCGATTTAAAAATAAATGTTAACCACTGTTCCCTAAGTCCAGCATCCCTAGGGAGGCCGAATAAAGAGGACCTGCAATCGGGGTGAAAATAACAGCGTTTCGACGGCATGGCAACAGCACTCTACTCTCACTGATGCCAACTCTCGCGAGACAAATAAGCAACCGCAGCTTCAAAATCAAGCCCAATATTTTTTGATAATTTATTATCAATTATTACCAATAAATGAGCCCGCAACATATTAAACTGAAACTCCCCTTTTACCTGAAAAGCAAAAACATAAGTTATTTTTACAAAAATCAGCAAACTGCAACAAAACTCATCTCCAATCACCTGTGAGCAAAATAGGATTGGACAGATGGAAAAGGAGAAAAACACAAGAGCTTCAAAGGGGAGCTGTAACATTGCCACACATTCATAGCCTACTAAAATACTGGCTATTCGAACCAAATCTACTCTTAGTATTAGTATAGACCTACTTGATTTTTTTTC